AATCTCACCATCCTTGCTTCTAAGGAGCATTCTGTTTGTACTGCTTCCAAGACAGATTTGTTCATTCTTTTGTCAGTCCATGGTATGTTCAATATTCTTTGCCAACACCACAATTCAAAGGCGTCAGTTCTTCTGTCTTCCTTATTCATCGTCCAGCTTTCACATGCATATGAGGCAATTGACAACACCATGACTTGGGTCAGGCGCACCTTAGTCTTCAAGGTGACATCTTTGCTTTTCAGTGCTTTAAAGAGGTCTTTTGCTGCAGAAATGCCCCGTGCAATGCATCTTTTGATTTCTTGACTGCTGCTTCCATGGGTGTTGATTGTGGATCCAAGTAAAATGAAATCCTTGACAATTTCAGTCTTTCCGCCATTTATCATGATGTTGCTTATTGGCCCAGTTGTGAGGATTTTTGTTTTCTTTATGTTGTGGTGTAATCCATATTGAAGGCTGTGGTCTTTGATCTTCATCAGTAAGTGCTTCAAGTCCTCTTCACTTTCAGCAAGCAAGGTTGGGTCATCTGCATTAACGCAGGTTGTTAATGAGTCTTCCTCCAATCCTGATGCCCCGTTCTTCTTCATATGGTCCAGCTTAGAGAAATGCAAATCAAAACCACAATGAGATACCATCTCACCCTGACATTACTGGCACAAATTAAAAAAATCAGAAAATAACAAATGTTGGAGAGGCTGCAGGGAGATTGGACCTCTTAGGCACTGCTGGTGGAAATGCAAAATGGTACAACCATTTTGGAAAACAATATGGCACTTCCTTAAAAAGCTAGAAATAGAAATACCATACGATCCAGCAATCCCACTCCTAGGAATATACCCTAGAGAAATAAGAGCTGTCACATGAATAGACATATGAACACCCATGTTCATTGCAGCATTGTTCACAATAGCAAAAAGATGGAAACAGCCTAAGTGCCCATTAACAGATGAATGGATAAGAAAACTATGGTACATACACACAACAGAATACTACACAACAATAAAGAACAATGATGAATCTGGGAAGCATCTCACAATATAGGTGAATCTGGAGGGCATTATGCTGAGCGAAATAAGTCAATCATGAAAGGACAAATATTGTATGAGACCACTACTATACAAACTCATGAAAAGATTTACACACAAAAAGAAACAACCTTTGATGGTTACGAGGGAGGGGAAGGATGGGGATGGAAAAACACTAAATGGATAATAGATAAGTGGTAACTTTGGTGACGGGTAAGATAGTACACAAAACTGGGGAAGCCAGCACAACTTGTCCACGGCAAGGTCATGGAAGCTCCGTAGACACATCCAAACTCCCTGAGGGACTGAATTACTAGGCTGAGGGCTGTTGGGACCATGGTCTCTGGGAACATCTAGTTCAATTGGCATAACATAGTTTATAAAGAAAATATGCTACATTCTACTTTGGTGAGTAGTGTCTGGGGTCTTATAAGCTTGTGAGCAGCCATCTAAGATACTCCACTGGTCTTACCCCATTGGAGCAAGGGAGAATGAAGAAAACCAAAGATAAAAGGGAAAGATTAGTCCAAAGGACTAATGGACCACAGCTACCATAACCTCCACCAGACTGAATCCAGCACAACTAGATGGTGCCCAGCTACCACCACTGACTGCTCTGACAGAAATCACAATAGAGGCTCCTGGACAGAGCTGGAGAAAAATGTAGAACAAAATTCTAACCCACAAAAAAAAAAAAAAAAAAAAAAAAAGAGAGAGAGAGAGACCAGACTTACTGGTCTGACAGAGACTGGAGAAACCCTGAGAGTATGGCCCCTGGACACCCTTATAGCTGAGTACTGAAGTCACTCCTGAGGTTCACCCTTCAGCCAAAGACTAGACAGGCCTATAAAACAAAACGAGACTAAAAGGCACACAAGGCCCAGGGGCAAGGACTAGAAGGCAGGAGGGGACAGGAAAGCTGGTAATGGGGAACGCAAGGACAAGGAGGAGAGACTGTTGACACATCATGGGGTTGGCAACCGATGTCACAAAACAATATGTGTATTAATTGTTTAATGAGAAACTTATTTGCTCTGTAAACCTTCATCGGAAGTATAATTAAAAAAAAAAAAAAGAATACCATCTGATATAGTGCTGGAAGATGAGGCCCTAAGTTGGAAGGTATTCAAAATACACAGTGGCTGCAGCAATGAACTCGAGCATACCAGTGATCATGGGGATGGCTCAAGACTGGACAATGTTTCATTCCATTGTACGTGGGGAAGCCATAAGTTGGAGCCACCTCAAGGACATTGACATTATTTATGTTCTCCATGTTGTACAATCCTCACCACTAAGTTTCCAAATTTTGTTATTACCCTTAACAGAATCTCAGTACCCCTTAAGCAATAACTCCTTCTCCCCATCCCCAGGTAAAAACCCAAACCAAACCCATTGCCATCGAGTCGATTCTGACTCACAGCGACCCTTTAGGACAGAGCAGAACTGCCCTGTAGAGTTTCCAAGGCGTCATCTTTACGGAAGCAGACTGCCACATCTTTCTCCCACGGAGCAGCTGGTGAGTTCGAAACGCCATCCTTAGCAGCCAAGCACTTAACCACTGCACCACCAGGGCTCCTAAGATGCCTTTACTTCATATTAATTGCGCTTCAGCACTCATCTTTTGAACCAGTTGTGACATCTGCCTGGTTCCCTCATGAATACAGTAAAATCTTTAACACCTGCTCTTGTCTCATATCTGTATGAGGGTCATGATCTTACCCTTTCCTGAAAATTATCTTGTTAACAACTCGTGTCTGCGTTCCAAAATTATCTTGCAACAGCTCTTATCTCACACACCCGTTGGCTGGTGTGTAAATGAGGGACTGAGCCAAAAGCTTTAGTTTTGGTTAGTTTGTTTAGATACTAAACCTGAGACTTTTCCACCGACACATGTTTCCCCGGCTCTGACGTTCTGTGAAGGCACACACTACAGCAGCATCTGGCCACAACCTGAGAACCAGGAAATCAGAGCTGTGGGTTACCCGCCCCCATCAGCTAGCTCCAACGTCTCCTAGTTCAGCCCACCCTTAAGGTGGTGAGAGGCACAGACTGCACTCTGGAAAGCACCCAAATCTTCACGCTCTGTGGAAGTCAGCAAGAACTCTTGACAGCTTCCTCAGAACGAAGGGTGAGATGCAAGAGACACTCCAATGAGTGAACTTCACACGGTAGGTAAGGAAATGTGCTGAGCATTGCAAATGGGCACCAGGGTAGGCTAACTGCACAGCACCAAGGAGTAAGGGGTCAGGGCAGAGTTACAACTTGACACAGGTCTACTCAGAAATGCTTACAGAGCACGTATAAGTTCAGCATGATCAGAGAGAGGCTGAATCACCACTAAGAGAGCGTTCTCCCCTTCTCCCAGCCCACCACTGGGGTCGAGCCATGTGTTACTTACACTATAGGGTCTGGGATGCAAGAAGCCTATCTGTTGTCTGTGTTTCTCTCAGCTGCTCAGAAGCAGATTCTTATCTTTTGCATCCTCCCTGGGGAGGGTGGTTTAGGCATTTATTGGTGCATGACCTGGATGAAGGCCAAAGACATTGGGTACAACATGGCAGGTAGCTGCGCATAAGGAGGCAGGCCCACTGCCATGTGTGACCAAAGAACCAGGTCCCCAAACCTCCAAACCCCACTCTTCCGAGCTGCACCTTTCCCGCCTGACCTGCTTGGTAGTGTGATTCAACTACTGTAAGCAATATTTTTCAAATGAATAACCCACAGTACTTACGGAGGGCTGCTTTTCTGAATTTTCTCATTTTCCTACAACTGGCCTTGATAGTGTTCCTCTTCCCCAAGCATT